CACAAACATGCATGTATGTACATACACACAGAAAAATCCACCAAAAGCATTATTTGTTTAGTCACCACACATTTCCAAAGACTTGTTAAATACTTTCATTATTTTCATAATTACTTACCTTATAAGTGTTTTTGCCTGATCTTCCTTGACTATACTATTTAATTGTATAACTTATCAAAATTAAATATGCACATATTTATGTGAGCACTTGTAAAAAGAAGAATAGAATCCTCTTCCCTTACTTTCCCCAAGCACAATCCTCCACCCACATTTGTACACTTCTCTAATTGTCCTCTTTTTCTGGAAAACAAAGTGACCCATTTTTTTTATATATTTCCTTCTTCCTCCTAACATTTTGGCCAAACTCTGAGAGTTTTCTGAAATTCATCTTTTTATACTTACACTGAATTTCTGCTTTTGCCATACAATTTCACAAAGCTGATTCTCTGTGTATTGATATACTTGTATGTATTCAGGCACACATGTGTGGGAGTGTACATGTGTGGAGTCCACAGAATAGCCTCAGGTGTCATTCCTCAGGAGCTGTCCACCATGCATTTTTGAGGCAGTGTCTCACTAGCAAAAGTTGATTCTTGTTCTCTGAACATCCCTTTTGAAGGCTTTCCCACCTGTCTCATAGATGACAGATTTGTGATTGTAGAGCATATGTGAATAGGTAATGCACCCACATTATTCAAAATCTAAATTGTAAAATAAAAATATAGCTCCCAACTTTGCCACTAATCTGTTTACTTTCTAACTCCTGTATTCTGTTGGTGATGCTTGCATCTGTAGTTCCTGATCATTTACTCACCTTTCCTAATTCCAGCATTCCTTCAGACTGCGTTTTTTTTAATAGTCTCTATTTCAGCTTTCAAACCTTGCACTGTTTGAATTGTTTCTTGTAATTTTTGGTTTGTCTTTTCTTCCATTTCTTTAAGGGGATTCTCTCATTTCTTCTTTTCGGGTCTCTATCATCTTCATGAAGTTTTTTTAAGGTCTTTCTCTTCTGCTTCATCTGTGTTGTGACGTTCATATCTTGCTGGTGTACACTCCCTAGACTCTGGTGGCGCCATATTGGTTTTTCTGTCATTGAATTTGTTCTTATATTGTCATCTTCCCATCCCTTCTTTCTGTGAGTACAGGTGGGGTCTCTTCCTTTCCTGATGGGTACGGGTCCAAGGTTCTCTTCGGGTGGATGTAAGCAGGTCCAATACACTGATGGGTCTCACAGTGGGTGCAGATGGGTCTGAGGCACTCCCTCTCCCGGTGTCTGGGAGCTCAGCCCCTCTGCCCTCTACCCTGAGTAGGGACTGGAGTAGACCGGCTCTCTCAGCAGGCTCCTGGTTGCTCAGTCCTCCGGGGTCAAGTCAAGAAATAATTTTATTGTATGTATTGGTTTCTCATTAGTACTGAAACAAATCACCGCAAAGTTGGTGGTTCGGAGAGACTGAATTAGACCCTCTGGTAGGCAGATGAAGGGAGAAGGGCCACAGCTAGGTAACAAAGGTGATGAGTTTCCAAGTTGGTCTCTTTCTTCCTCACCTTCTGAGCAGGCAGCTTAAAACAAAGGCCTTCTTTCTTCCTCCAACCCACCCTTTCCTGAGAAACTGGCTCACCAAGTGCGAGGCCAAATCAGGACAAGTTGTGCAACAGTTGCTGGCCAAACAATCTTTCTATATTTCTGCAAACTAACCAACCTTAAATTGGGAAGAGAAACCCTTCAGAGGCTTTAACAACCCTCAGCTTCAAGAAGGTACTGAATGTCGGAGACTTCCAAGCCCCCTCACTGCTTTGTAGATGGTCTTTTCTCTGTAAGTCTGCTGCGAGAATGTTTCCTCGCCCCAAGAAACACCTTTGGACAGCTGATTCTGTCCTGTGTGAGATTTCTCCACTGTTACCCATTGCGCTCAAAATTTTTCCTGCCTCTTAATTCTTTAACTGGTAGAGAAAACGAACCTGATCAAGACCCCTAAACTGTATTAATTTAAAGCTACGTAATTTTGTTTCTAATGCTTCTGGAGGCTAGATGTCTAAGTGGATTTCACTGGTGTAAAAGCAATGGGTTGGCAGGGCTGTATTACCTCTCGAAGACTCTGTGGAGGAGAGACCCACCGAAAGACCCATTTTACCTCCTTTGCAGTTTTTATTGCCCACCCATGTGGGCATCTCTTTTAGAGCTAACAGTGGTGAGCTCCATCTTCTGTATCTATCACCCAGAAACCAGAGACGGGCACCTCTGATCCTTCTCCAGGATTTCTGACCACTGTCAGTAACCCTGGGCTCACTCATATAAAGCAAGTCAGCCAAAGGTATATTGACTCCAACTTTCATTCACCTTTGTTGTCTGGCATAACAGTATCAGGGTCTTGGCATTTGGGTTGTAATCGTTTTCGAAGGACTATTATTTGGCCCTTAGAAGTTTGCATTTTTCTGTAATTTTACTAAAGTTGAGTATATTTTTGTATGTTTAAGAAAATTAGATTTTTCTCCTTGTGGTAAAATAACTGTTCATATCCTTTGGACATTTTCTAAGGTTTGTTAAGATCCATTTTGTATTGGAAATGTATACATCATCTCAATACCATTTGAAGTTTGCAGTATCGTTTCTCATTTATGCGCTGATGTTATCCATATTTACTGGTTTTGGAACTTTGTATTGTGCACATGTGGGGGGGGGATGTGCATATGAGGTCACACATGCATGTGTGTGGAAGCCAGGGTTCATCAAGAACCATCTTCTTATTACGTAAGGCAGACATTCTACCTGAGACCTGGGGAATCACCCTTTAATCTAGGCTAGCTGGCCAGCGAGCCCCAGGGATCATTTTGTCTCCTACTCCCAGCACTGACATTACAAACTCCACCAGGATGCCCAGCTTTTTCCACTGTTTTGGTTTTGGTTTTTGTATGTTTGTTTGTTTTTTTCATTTTTTCAATAGCCTTTAAAAAGGAATTTTCCCACTTTGATATTAATATTCTCTTTGTTTTTTTCCACACAAAACTTTGATCCTTAGCTGGGCATAAGTAATGAGATACAGGAAAACTCATTGCTTTTCAGTTGATTAAACAGTTAGCTAACAATATGTATGTAATATCATCACTTGTCTGTGTTACCACCTTTAGTATTTACGAGGATGTAGTGGGCCTGTCATTATTAACTGTCTTGGTTTCCCTACATGCCCATAAGTGTTGTGCTAGTAGTAGTTCAATCACAATGATGTGTGTCTATGAATCACCCAGGCAGTGACATTCTTCTTCTAATGAAAACGTAGACACTAACACTATGAAGTAAAAAGTACACAGCAGACCAGCAAAAGTGAAATAAAAATAAAGATCACACATTCACTGTCTGAGCTTGGTCACAAATGAAAATCTTCAACTGCATCTTGAAGACAATTATATACTAATTACTCCAGTAGAGCAAGCATATGCCATGGACAGGTAAGCAGGATAGATATGAAGCTGTAAAATGGGTTTCTCACTTCAACATGATGCCTGCACACCTAAGGCTCAGGAAATATTACAGAAAAGTGGGCAGAAAGACTGTAAGAGCCTGAAGACCAGAAGTCTGCTATATGAGATTGTGTCTCCTACATATGACAGGGAAACAACACTCATGATACTGCAACAATACGGCTATCCAAACAAGACCTAAACAATAGCAACACCAATGAGACAAGTTAGCATGAAAGGAGGAAAATTTAAAGGGCCTCACATCTCACACAGAGACAAAGAACTATAGGCAACTAATGACTAACTGCAATGCAATATGTAGTTATATATATTTGTGTGTGTGTGTGAGAGAGAGAGAGAGAGAGAGAGAGAGAGAGGATATAACAAAAATCAAAGAAATGCAGGTGTGATTTCAGAGCAAGTAGGGGAGGAGCATAGGAGAGGCTGGAGGGAGAAGACATGGGAGGGGTTGGAGGGAGGAAGGGAAAAGAGGAAATAATATAATTATATTTTAATTAAAATTAAACACTATTAAGGAGAAGAAGTTTCCACCTCTTAGTTCATAATCTCCATGGAGCTCTATTACTTCAGTGTAATGTTTCTGAGACATTTAATAAATGCAAACCAAGATTTAATAAGAATAAATTGAATAGAAACTTGTTTTCAAAGTTGTTCATGGTGACACTAGACACATGAACAACCAGAGTTGAGAAAGAGAAAGAAGTTCAGATGTTCAGACCAGCTGCTCCCCAGGGCTTTCTACAAATGTAGATAAGGGACAGCATCAAGAATATATCACTGTTTGAGAGTGTCCCACCCTCTACACTTATGTAAAGCCCACTGGCAGATGCTCTACAAACTATTGTGTGTATAAGATACCTAACCAAGCATGGCAACACATCCTTGTAACCCCAGTATTCAAGGTGCTGAGGTAAGAATTGCCATGAGTTAAAAGCTAGCCTTGGCTATGTAGCAAGACTATATGCCCAAAATTACATAATGACTGTAAATAAATTTCTATTTTTTCTATGCTAATCATCAGAAATGTTTAAATGCACACATTAAACATTTAAATTATTTTTCCTATTTAATTTCATATTATCATGAAGATAATTAAGATGATAAAATTTTAGTGGTTGTATATAAAAATATGAAATGAGACATGAAGTTCTGCCCAATTCCTGTTATGAAGCTTTCAAGAAAACAGCATTTCACATGACACAAAGCACATCGATGTGCTTGCCAGTACCTCTCCATTATGTAATGTACTCCTTTGAAGCAGCACTGTACTGTGTTCATTACTATCATTGGCACTTGGCGTTAGACACTCAGCAATCGGAAGTGAGTAAATTTATGAATGCCTAAGCACTCCGGAAGCTTTTGATGTGTGGCTCTCGATGCTAAGTAATGAACTGTGTCAGCCTTGGTATCTCTACTCTCTGTCACTTCAGCTCTGCTAAGTGTACAGCAAAAGTAATTGAGGGATGACATATGAGACACCTAAACAAGTGTTCTTTTCTTTTCTTTCATTCTGTGTATCAAAGCTCCATTCAACCCAAATAAAGGAGCAGACAGCATTGTCAAGTTTGACACTTTTGGAGACGGGATGGGAAGATACAACGTGTTCAACTTCCAGCATACAGGCGGAAAGTATTCCTACTTGAAGGTCGGTCACTGGGCAGAGACTTTATCTCTGGATGTGGACTCTATCCACTGGTCCCGGAACTCAGTCCCCACTTCCCAATGCAGCGATCCCTGCGCCCCCAACGAAATGAAGAATATGCAGCCAGGCGATGTTTGCTGCTGGATCTGCATCCCCTGTGAGCCCTACGAATACCTGGTTGATGAGTTCACCTGTATGGATTGTGGGCCTGGCCAGTGGCCAACTGCTGACCTATCTGGATGCTACAATCTTCCAGAGGATTACATCAAGTGGGAGGACGCCTGGGCAATCGGTCCAGTCACCATTGCCTGCCTGGGCTTTATGTGTACGAGCATAGTTATTACTGTTTTTATAAAGCACAACAACACACCCTTGGTCAAAGCATCAGGCCGAGAGCTCTGTTATATCTTGTTGTTTGGAGTTAGCCTGTCCTATTGCATGACATTCTTCTTCATTGCCAAACCGTCGCCTGTCATCTGTGCTTTGCGCCGGCTTGGGCTTGGGACCTCCTTTGCCATCTGTTATTCAGCTCTGCTGACCAAGACAAACTGCATTGCTCGAATCTTTGATGGTGTCAAGAATGGCGCTCAGAGGCCAAAATTCATCAGCCCCGGTTCTCAGGTTTTCATCTGCCTGGGTTTGATACTGGTGCAAATTGTGATGGTGTCTGTTTGGCTTATCCTGGAGACTCCAGGCACCAGAAGATACACCCTTCCAGAGAAGCGGGAAACAGTCATCCTAAAATGCAACGTCAAAGATTCCAGCATGTTGATCTCTCTGACCTATGATGTGGTCCTGGTGATCCTATGCACTGTGTATGCCTTCAAAACAAGGAAGTGTCCTGAAAACTTCAATGAAGCCAAGTTCATAGGCTTCACTATGTATACCACCTGCATCATCTGGTTGGCGTTCCTCCCTATATTTTATGTGACCTCGAGCGACTACAGAGTAAGTCTTTAACTGCTTTCATCTTTTCCTTAATTTCACTTTCTACTTTCCTTTGTTCTTTTCATGTATCAATGTTTTGTCGGGCAGGAGTTAGGGTAGACTCCTTTTATTTCATCTCAAGAATGAATCAAATAATTACAAATGCCATGATTAACTTCGATGTATGAGGAAATTAATTCGTGAGTGCTTAATTAATTGTTCAGAGCACTGTGCCAGGCACAGAGGGGAAGAAAGATATAACTGATGGTTCATTCAAAGTAATTTGTAACCTAGTGAGGAATAAAACATAATACATACACATAAAAACATCTTAATTAAATTTAAAAGGCAATTGACAAGAGAATGAGATTTAATCACTGAAACCCTAATGAGAATATTTGAAATTAGACACAAGAGGATGTCTATAATAGATGGAACTATAAATTGAAGTACCCTTGTCAGGATCAGGATAAAGATCTAAAACTTTTATGCATGCTTCATAACTTCCCTGCAATGGATTAAAATACAGTCTGTTGTGCCTTTTCTAAGCCTTTAGTTATATATGCAAATATGCTGTGTATAATTGTGAGTGTCTATGTGCCATTCAACTCCTAAAACCTTTATTACACATGTATGAGTGACCTAAGCACATCACTATTTATATAGTTTAAATGTATGGACTGTCATGTGATTACCATCTCTTGTGTGGGAAATATCATCATCCCATCATAATTTCCCAAGTTGTTGAGCCATTCGTAAGTTAATTTTGCTTTAACAATTCTAACTGCAGTGTCTTCAGTGAGTCCTAAGATTTGCCCCCTCTTCTGACAGTTGGTTTTTATTATCCTCTTTCCTTGTTATACCATGATTTCACAAAATGAAGTAGCCCATAGGTAAAAGACATTCCTGAATCTTCTGCTTACCAGTAGTTACAATATCACCCCAAATCTAGGAAACTGCACCTCAAAAGGAAGGCACAGTAAATCCCAAACCTCAAACAGGGAAAAACAAGCAAGCAAACAAAACACCTTCAAGGTGTCTGTGGCACATCATGGTATTATTAATAGCAATAGATTACATTCTTGATGGTATAAAAATGTATATTTTATTTGTAAGGTAATAAATGCTTATTAATTCATCATTCTATAATGTTTTTATATTTCAATGCATGTTACATATGTATATATGCATCATGATTAACCTCAATATGATATGAGAAAATTAGTTCACTAAGCTTTAAATACATATATAATATGATATATATACATGCATATGTATATATATATATGTCTGTGTAATTTCCAACAATTGAAATAATGCTTTAAAGGAAGAAAAAAACTAAAGCACAGGATTAAGTGCCTGGCAAAGACTGTTCTCTCTAATTCAAATGATTTACAACTATGTGCGTGGAACCTATGGACTGCACACACCTATAGTACAAATGAGGAGCATAAGCTCAGTGTTAGAGTAATGCTCAGATATTTTTAATGTTCAGATATTTTAAGACAACACATAAAAATGTAAAAATCTTTAAGAGAGGTAGTATCATAATTTGATCAGCAAACTATGTGAAGTCACAAAAGAGTTTGAACAGTCAGTTTGAGAATAAAATAGAGATGTATTATTAATATTTTCAAAGCCTCTACCCTCAGCACAGACAGATAATTTTTAATGTTGTTACTATATTGTCCTTAGTGAACCTGGTTTAGAGTATTGGGAGTGAAAATTGGTGCAACAGTAATCATGATGCCCTGAATATCTGAGTTTCAACATCTCATCTTCAGAAGAGCCCCTGGATTTATAAAGCAAAGCAGAAAATGTTACCAAAAGTAAACATAAACCCATTTTTATCTTATTGGAGACATTAGCATTTATTTCTCACACACGAGAACTTGAGTTTGCCCCTTGCATGACAACAATAAAGTACTAACTAGATATAATTAGCTGAAGATACTAGAAATTCCACTGTGCTGTAGAAGTCATCTGGTAACCAGGGCAACTGTGAAAGGACAAGGTGGGACACCTCAGATGTGACTCTAGAATTCTGACAAAGCTCAAATACAACAAAATCCAAATTTTCTCATTTTGATAAGCTTTGATAATTTTTTAAAGAACTGTCATCTCCATTTTGTTAGTGTCCATTGTACAATGTCTATTGTAGAATGAGAAGCAGCCAAGTTTCCAAATTCTATGAGCCAGACAGAAGAAACGACCAGCACCAATACTCTCATGCAGGAATGTGTTTGGGCATGAGCAGCTACAATTTAATACATAAGCGCAAGAGTGATTTGATCTAAGAGAGTTGGCTAGGGAACTAAATCACGTAGGGCTTTGTAGGACATGGAAAAGAATATAAACCATTGGAAGGCTTTCAGGTGAATGAAATCATGGTGTCCTATCATAAAGGAGAAAGCAAAGGCAAGAGCAGAGAGTGATTAGCCTGCTTGGTAGGACAGAGGCTGTGGGAGAGGCAACCAAGTGTTAACATCTGAGAAGTGGACAAGGAAACGATCCTAAATTCTGAAAGGCTTTTATACTAGTTGCCATTTACCAAAGTAACCTGGCACAGTGCCAGGGACATGGCAGAGCACATGTGACAACTGATTCAGACGCAAAGGACTTTATCACAACCACAGCAGCAATTGGTGTCAGCAGCTGGGTAGGACCCCCCCAACCCCCGCCAAGTTCCAGTCTAGAAAGCAATGCAAGCTAGGCTCAGGGACACCTGAATGTGCCCTGATGGAGACAGGCCCTACTTTCCTGACTTGACTGAATACACCAGAGCACAGCACTGGTAATGAGCCAATTCCTACTTTAATTATTAGTATTGTGCTCGTCACAAATGTTAGCATTGTGTTTGATTTTTAAAATATAGCATCAAGGGCTGGAGAGATAGCTCAGTTGTTGTGAGCACTGGCTACTCTTCCAGAGGTCTTGAGTTCAATTCCCAGCAACCACATGGTAACTTACAACCATTTAATGGGATCTTATGCCCCTCTTTGGGCATGCAAGCATACATGAAGACAGAGCACACTTATATGAAAACAAACAAAAAATACATAAAAATGTAAAATATGGCATTAAAATAGAATTTCTCTTGATTACTGAGTTGTCAGTGTGCCCCTCAATTTGCATCTAAAATAAGTGCCTTACCTTCAGCCCAGCCCAACTCCGCAGTAGAAAAGCTAGATTAGAGGCTGATTTGGGCCAGCATGACATACAGATTAGAATTTCTCCCCTCATTTGAGTTCCCCAGCATACCACATCTGGTGCAGATAAACTCCTACTACCCTCAAGAATGGAAAGAACTTGGCCCTAACCTTGAATGTGTTTCTCCTAAAGCAGCTAAAATCACAGTAGAGTTTGGTACAGCTAAGTATTGTGGAGGGATGGTGCAGCCCCATGCCAAAAAAAAAAAAAAGACACATTTGCTTCCAGAAGCCATTTTCAGCTCTACTTAAAGTCTATTGTTTTGGGGCACCTGAATGTCAAATTAGCCAGGCATGGTAGTTCATGCCTACAATCCTAACACTGGGGAGGCGGAGGCAAGATAAGAGTGGGGTCTAGGGAGTCTAACTTACATGACAATGCCCTCTATAATAAAAGAAAGAAGACAGTTTTGTAGCTTTCTGGCTTCATAGCTGAGTAAGATTATCAGTAACTTTTCTCTCTCAGCAGCATGAAGAGCAGCTTCAGGAATGGTAAAAGCCAACCAGCAGGAATATAGCTTCTATGCCAGTTCTAGCTTGATTTCTCCATGCCCTGTCTTATGACCAAGTTATGGTGGGCAGCCAAGAGCAATAACAATAGCTTGTATTGTTATTTTTGAGACTCCCCTGACCAGCAACTCAAATGAAGATAGGTACACCACATCAGTCACTGATGTTTTGGTTTAATAACCTATGACTTCGAGGAGCACTATCTCCCACATAAGATACCTCCATTCAGATTTAAGGCCCGCTCCACAAGAGGGAACTCACTCCTGGTACTGGAAACCCAGCCAAGAATGCATGGCTGGGGAGATCATAGGTCTCCAGGTACACATTTTGCTAAATGGACACAGTATCAACCTGCCCTCTGAATGCGTATCTTTATACCTATGGATTAGTGTAGCTCTCAAACCTCATCAAAGACCCTGCTTTTTTCAAGGGGTGACAGTTAATGTAGAGACTCACAACTGGGCAAAGTGCAGAGAATAAGTGAGTGTGGAATGTTGGGGTCTAAATGGAACACCTGTAACACACACACACACACACACACACACAGAGAGAGAGAGAGAGAGAGAGAGAGAGACAGACAGACAGACAGACAGAGAGAGACAGAGACAGAGACAGAGAGACAGAGAGACAGAGAGGCTCAGGAAACATTGTAGAAGAGAGGAGAGACATATTGAAGAGCTAGAGTGTGAGGAATACTGCTACAAAACACTGTCTTCTGGACGTGACACAACCAGTGCACCCATGAACTCATTGCAACTGGGGTTGTCTGCACATGACCTACACAAGACTGGGCCTGTCACTCCTTCTTCTTCTGTGGGAGAAGGTCTTATGAAGTTCCACCCATCCCTGAGGGACTACTGACAGCCAATGCCTGCTGGGGGAAGACTTGCTGCTTTCTTCAATGGTGAAACCACTGAAAAGATGTTCATATTTTAGTACGTAGTCTTCAACCTACGCACATGCAGACTACTCTATCTAAACCAAGTGGCTCGCACACTGAAAAGACAGGGAAGTAGGAAGATACTTGTTAAGAGGTTCAGTAGAAGAGGGAGGGCAAGCGAGGCAAGGGACACAGTGCCAGACGGACAAACACTCATTATGGGCATGAGCTAAACTGTCAAAGAATAAGAATAATTTTAAAAATAATAAACACATGAAAGGAAAAAGAAGAAAGACCAAACCCAACCCAGGTAAGAGCACAAATGCCACCAACTGCCTCATCTGTAGATATCCTAGAGTTTTTCCAGTCCCGGGGAAATGTACTCAAGTAACCAAAAACTCCTTTTCCTGTCCAGTTTCCACCACAAATACTGAAACTTTTGCAAATCTGAAAATTTATCTTTAAGGGATGAACCTTAAGAGAGCCCACTGTTCCCTTCCTTCTGTAACAAGTACCAAGTGCTTATATACACAAGTAATAAGTACCCCGTACACACAGTACCACGTGTCCTGTACACACAGTACCAAGTGTCCTGTACACAGTACCAAGTGTCCTGTACACAGTACCAAGTGCCCCGTACACACAGTACCAAGTACCCCATACACACAGTACCAAGTGCCCCATACACACAAGTACCAAGTGTCCCGTACACACAGTACCAAGTGTCCTGTACACACAGTACCAAGTGTCCCGTACACACAGTACCAAGTACCCCGTACACACAGTACCAAGTGCCCCACACACAAGTACCAAGTGCCCCATACACACAAGTACCAAGTACCCCATACACACAGTACCAAGTACCTGTACACACAGTACCAAGTACCCCGTACACACAGTACCAAGTGTCCTGTACACACAATACCAAGTGTCCTGTACACATAGTACCAAGTGTCCTGTACACAGTATTAAGTGTCCTGGACACACAGATCAAGTGCCAGTACCCACAAGTACCTAGTGCCCCGTGCCCTCAGCTTCTCAAGGAAATCAGCCAAAGCTCAGGTGATCCATCCACTTGTTGCCCTCCCTGAAGGTCCCTCTCCTCTTCTCCTGACTTGTGAGGCTCAAACCTCTACAACATCTATGTGGAAAGAAATAGAAATTTCTGCCCAAACACAACAAATGTAATATTACATATTTAGTATCAAATGTAATTGATTTATGCTGTGGAGAAATGCTCCCTATCCCATCCCAGAAAGATCCAGAAACCATCAGAGCACCAGACTAGCTGCTCTCTTTCAACCCTTTGTCTATAACCCAACAATTAATCCCCTCTCCAGATCCTCCATTTAATAGGCAATGAATACAGTGCTGTTTGAGCACGGAGAGTTGACCACACAATTTTTTCCAACATGCTTGCTATTGATTTTTATGGAGTTTCTTTGGACCTTGAGACCCCTATGGTTCCTTTCTTTAAAAGTCTATCTCAGAACTCCATTCTTACTGACCAAACTGTCAAAGACTGCAGTGCCTGAGAGTTTATTCTACTTATTAGATAACAAGTTATCACACCAGCTCATTGCTCCTGACAGAACAACAACAGCAAAACCTAAAAAGGCTGATTGACAGCAACAACAATAACAGTAGCAGCCAGACAGTGACTGTTTGCAGTTGTCTCCGAGCCCCAGTTCTCGCATAGATGAGCAATGGCCTCTTGCCCTAGGAGTAGACTCTGTGTTCTAAAGCTCTTTATGTGAAAATCCATGAAAAGCAAGTTTAGAACAGAGGTAGTTAGAGCATTTGCTTACAAGATATGTAGAAACATGAGACCTTCACAGAGTTATCTCCCAGCAGAACTTGTTGATGGATCAGCTAAGTGAGTTTAAGGACAGTGGAAAAAAATCAAAGAGGAATGCCAAGTTTTTAAACATTTTGGTGTCATACAGAATGGAACATTTAAGAAAGAAGGTCAAACTTGGGTTACATGTACTTGTTCCTATCAAATACTAAACGTAATATGTGATAGGGATAGCTGAATATGTAAATATGGAAGCATACAAAATAGGCCAGAACTAGTAAATATCTGGATATAAACAATATAGCAGGTGTCTAAGTCATGAGAACTAAGTCATGAGATATGAAAAAATGACACCCCAGACCTTAAAGTTCAGATAGGAGAGAACATTAAAACAAGGAACAATCACCCAGTCTAGGGAGGATTTTGTCTAGGAAACCAAAATAAGGAAATAATTACTGATGTCAGATGTTGTTATAAGTTTGCAGATAAAGTCAGGGCCATAGGAACTGGTGGTATAAAATAGAACAGAGAGTTATAAATTAAACACAGATTCATAATCATGTGACTTACTGAAGGAACTGGACAAGTGACCTTTGAACAAGCCAGGCTCACTGATGATAACCATCTGCAGCTAGCCTTCTCATCACTGAATATTTATGTTTTACTCTTTAAGATTCTGCCTTCTGCATAAACACCATTATACAAATACAAAGAAAACCAGAAAATCTATGTGAAGTCTTGGCAAGCAGTCAGAAGCAACCCACAGAAATGATGCCTGCTTTGAAATCCTAAACAATGTTTTCATGACTATCCCAAACACAGAAGATCCAATATAATTAGCACATAGACTTGGCTGCGAAAAGAAAAGAGTTATGGCCGATTCTCATTTCTAACTTGGTTTGTCTCAGTGTTCTCTTGAGTTGACTACATGACGGAAGTTATAGCTGGACACTCATTTGACCAACCTTTCTTGTAGGTGCAGACGACAACGATGTGCATCTCTGTTAGCTTGAGTGGTTTCGTGGTCTTGGGCTGTTTGTTTGCCCCCAAGGTACACATTGTCCTGTTCCAACCCCAGAAGAATGTGGTCACTCACAGGCTTCACCTCAACAGGTTCAGTGTCAGCGGAACTGCCACCACATACTCTCAGTGTAAGTATGGAACTAAACACTGATTCACTCATAAATGGTCCCACACGGGGAGCCAGGACAGCTGGCCCCAACAGAGCATGCCTGTCCCAATCTCAGATCAGTGTTACTAAGTTCTAATATACATATTAAATTAGAATGCATATGAGAATGAGCTGTGTGCTAAGAATAACAGCACAGAGCACAAGATTCAACATTCTGTGGATGCCAGGTAGTGTCTGTCAGGGAAGAAAGACACCCAAGCTACTAATTCAATTAAGCTTTTTACCAGGTTGTGTAGCCATATGACCAGCCTTGTAACCTTTTTGCAGTAGTCCCCTGGGTTGCCTTAGGAAAGTCACTGAGTTGTCCCCACCTCATTTTACTCAATGCCTAAAGTACACTGTTCTGTAAAGAATGCTCAGAGTCACACGCATGCTGAGGAGGCTTCATGAAAACTGCAGGGAGGACATGCTCATCAGGAGGTAATGCTACCAGCCCATGCCACCCTTTTCAAAAGTTCAGACACCTCTATTAACATGGGGAAGCTGAGGGTTGCAGTGCAGTTGCAGCTAAGATTTGGAGAACCCTCTCAATGAGGATACTTGTTTGTTCCCTTTGTGTTTAATTACATTAAAATCCAACTCACATCCTGGGACAGGGCTTTGGAAAGTGCTAGAAAAGATCTTGCTGGTTCCTTGACACAATGATTTCTCTCTGGCTAAGAACAGCTGAAGGCCTGTGTGACCAGGGTTCTAGGATCTCTCCCCAGACTTGTTGCTGGAGTTTCTTGTCTTGCCATGTTCAGCCGCTTCAGCTCCAAATGAACACAGAGATACTATAACAATTACTAACTGTTAGTCAAAGGCTAGGGTTTTTTATTGGCTAGCTCTCTCTTAATTATTAACCCATAACTACTAATCTATGTATTTCTACATGGTCTTATCTTACCAGAGAACACCTGGTGCATTCTCTCTTCCCAGCCTCTACATAGCGTCTCCTTCCAGTACCTCCTTGCCTACCTTTCCCATAATTCTCCTTGTCTCCTAGTCCCGCCTATCTTCCTACCTCCATTGCCAAAACAGTGTTTTATTCATCAACCAATAAGAGAAACACATATACAGAAGGACATCCCCCATCACAGACCACCTTTCTTTCCCTTCTGGGATTTTTGTAGCTAAGACACGACTGTCATCCCCAAAAATGTGATTCAAGTTTCCTAAGGCACAAATGTATCTGAAACAGACAGTTTTCTACATCATTTTCAGTTCACCTGTAGTTCAGAGTAGGAGAAGCATTCTGACAGGGTGAGAGAGCAGGGGATGGAGGCATACAAGGAGGGAGGTCTTGGAATAACAGCAACAAATGACTGCTTCACAGTTTTGCCTCCAGTCAAGAAGAGAAGACACTTCAAAATAGCTCAGCATCACAAGGTGAGCTAGTGCCTCAGTTTCCCCAACAAATAACAGGATGGAACAGGTCACCCTTTCCCCCAGCAGAGGAAGGCTGACAGGGTGGGAGCACACATGTGTTCTGGGATGCATCCTACACCCTTATCTCCTCAGCCCTGAGCTGTGGAGACACAGAGATCCACACATTTGCAACTAAACCCCAGGTTTCCCAATGGTGAAATAAAACCTAAAAAAAAAAAAAAAAACAGAGAACCATGCTTATTTCCAAACAAAACAAATTTGTTCATTTCTTTTTTTTTTTTTTTTTGGTTTTTACGAGACAGGGTTTCTCTGTATTGTTTTGGAGGCTGTCGGTCCAGCCCAGCCTTCATTTCTTAACTAAACAAAATTGTTATAGCTAGCTAGTTCAAACAATAAAAAACTGGCAATAAAAAATGTCATGCACAGAAACTGTAACTTACCCATTATTTTCTACATGGTGAAGACTGCTAAATACTTTGTGTGTATGTGTATGCCACATTTCATTTAATGCTCACAACTTTTTGAGATAAAGAATCTTGAACAGGGTCATGATTATCCCAATTAATGAAGCACAGTATTTTAAAAAAGACCTGAATCAAAACATAGCATGAGTACTTCTGAATGTCAAGCCAGTATACCTAACTGCAATACTGTGCTGCCCCTCTCAGAAAGCATGCTAAGGCTGTTGGCACCCAGCTCATGATGCTGGGTGAATAATAGCTTCCGTAAGGAAGAAGTAGCACTCACTCTAGTCTAAACAGGACAAGCTTCCCTTGGGTCTATTGATAGCTCAAAGCTCATAGGTATGACTGGAACAACTTAACATAGCCTGTAAGTTGTAACAGACATTTTAAAACCAGATCTCAGAACCAGAAGCATGCTCTAAGACAAATTGTGGGAGTTATTAAATTTCTGTAAAAACAATCCTGGACTCTATTTGATCAAATCCTCTTCTCAGAAATTGTAAAATATACATTATTTCCAAATCCAAAAATATTGGTCTGGGCCTATACCAGACCCACTGTGGCTCTGTAAGTTAGCCAAATTGGTGATTTAAGGTAGACATCTACCCCAATGTAACGTTTTTGAAGTGTTCCTGAACCTCAACATCATTGCCCTATTTATCCCAATCAATGAAGCAGTAGTTCTTAACAAAACGAAGAATATTCATTTCAGTTTGCAGAAGTAACAAATACATTAATCTACATCTGTGTTTAAAGTAGCTTAACTTTTTTAGATTTATTTTATCCTTGTGACAGCAGGTACTAGAAGTTCTATTTGGTAGCTAAGTAAATTGAGAAGTTGCTTGTATCCAATGATAGCACAAAGTTCTTGGTTATCACTGGAACAACATAGTTTTAAGTCTTTATAATTCTTTTTAGCTTTAAAGACAAAGTCTGTCTGTGTAGTCTTGACTGTCCTGAAACTCATTCTGTAGACCAGGTTGGCCTTGAACTCAGAGATTTACCTGTTTCTGCCTCCTGAGTCCCAGGATTAAAGGTGTATGCCACTATACCCAACCTATAACCAGAACTCAGTAACTCAGAATTAGTAGCAGCATGTTGACCTTGGATTTCCGGACTCACAGTGAAAATGTTTCCCATTTTAATAAATTAAAGTTACTCTTGTGAAATTACATTCTTGAATATTCACCGTATTCCAGTGGCCTGTGAGCATCAAGTAAAATAATAAGGAGTAGGACAGGGTCCCTGACCCCATGAACGCTGTTGTCTAAGGAAGTTTCGACACTGTAGAAGGTAAAGCTAACTAATAATGGGTTGGGAGAGCTTTATTTAGCGTATTTCAAAAAGAAAAAGATACAAAACCTTAGGATGCATTATATGAGAAAAAAAGACAACCCTGAGGGCAAACCATGAAGAACCATATTTATGTGCCAGGTGGAATGTGTTTATTAACTCCAAATCACTGACTTGTGGGATCCACTTCTGTGGGTGAATATGCTCTGACCTGCTGTCACGTATGAATTCAAGCCAAACCTTTACTGTCTTAGTGCCCACTTCCTCTAGTATGAATACAGTACAGCTAAGATCCATTTCCCCAAAATACTGCGAAATGTGCTGTTTTATAAATCACACAAGACTCTTAAACTGCTATGAATCCACTAGGTCCTAGCTTCCACTGTGGCAGCAGCCTGCCTCTGCCACCAAAGCAGTTACATCATCCCCTGTCACCAGGTACCTTTCCACCGTCAGCTATGTGACCTGTGCATCCCCTAAAAGTGTCTGCCAGGCACAGCTCGGTCTCCTGCCTCTTCCTTCCTGTCTTGTTCTCTTGTCTTTCTTGTTTCTTGCCTTTTGCCTCTTGCTCCTCTCTTGTCTCTTCTTCTTTTACCTCTCTTGTCTCTCTTGACTCTTGTTTCTCTCCCGACTCTCTTCTTCCTCTTGTCTCTTCCCTGTTCTCTCTCTCTCTCTGTCTGTCTGTCTGTCTGTCTCTCATGTCCCCACAAGGACACGACCTTTCACTCTCTCTCCCTCTCCCCCCAATAAACATCTTGCACTAACTCTGTTATTCTACTTAGAGTGTGAGCATAGTCACTGACTTTAAATCTCCAAATTCAACCAACTGTAGGTCAAAAATATTTAGGGGAAAATGCATAAAAGCACTAAATATATCGAGCCTAATTTTCAAGTCATTATTCTCTAAATAAATAATGCAGTACACCAGCCATGGGCAGTGTATTAAGTACAAGTAATCTGAAAGTGATTTGCAGTGTATGGGAGAGAGCTGACGGTTACAGACAAACCCCATTTGATAAAAGGGATTTGCTCAGATTTCAGTGTCTATGGCTAGGGAAGCAGAAATGGGGAGGATCCTGTAACCAATACTTTACAGACCTCAAGGGACAAATGTAACCTTTGTCCTTCCAAGAAGTACTGTGCTGGTGATTTACCCCATTGTCTGACTGCTACTGATGCTATTGCTGATTTTGAATTTTCTCCATGGGTAAAAGAAATACGCCACACACATAAATGAGAGGGAGACATGGAAGAAGCAGGGCCACCTGTCTCTTCAATGTTTAGTTATTTATTTCTGCATAAGAAGCTTCACAGTCCAAAAGGTTTAAAACAACTCTCTTATCCCCTCCTATGGTTCTGTAAATCAGGAATTCAGCCAAGCCTGGGGTGGGCAGTTCATCTGCTTCATAATGCCTTACTTGGCATCCTCCTGTGGTGTTCCTGCTGAGAGTTGATCCGGAGGAAGCATCCTAGTCTCACACCTATGCTTAGCACCCAGTTGGGAAGCCTCCCTAAGTGGGCTTCCAGAGAGCATGCTGGGTATAAGCCACCAGCTGGGAAACCCACACAGGATGTCCTATGTTGTACCTACTCAAGGACGGAACACAGCCTGCCCATATTCAAGGGGAGGACCTAAACCAACTCTCAGGGAATCTGTAGTTGCTTTTATTATGCAGTTCTCTCCAAATCCTAGATGAACCAGTGCTGGACTCTTTTCAGGGATTAGTGTGACTTCATGGTGCGGCCACATTACTTCCTACTTTGTTCTTTGTCAAGGCAGTGACAGATACAACATGTCACTCGGGTGCTTTGTCAGCATCTTCCCAGAAGCTAA